TGACAGAAGAGGGGAATGCGGTCGTGGTTAAGAGTTCAGGCTATGGGTCCAACCAATCTGACTTTAGGTCCTGACCCTGCAATCACAGGTTGCCTGATCCTGGGTAAGTTACTACACTTCTATAAGCTTCAGTGTTTCTTACAAATGAGTCCAATAATAGTACAGTTGACCCTTGAACAACATGGGTTGTTTTTTTTTGGGATGGAGTCTCATTTTGTCGCCAGGCTGGAGTTCAGTGGTGCGATCTCAGCTCACTGCAATCTCCACCTCCCGGGTTCAAGCGATTGCCCTGCTTCAGCCTCCCAAGCAGCTGGGGCTACGGGTGTGCACCACCATGCCCAGATAATTTTTTTTTTTTTTGTATTTTAGTAGAGATGGGGTTTCACTGTGTTGGCCAGGATGGTCTCGATCTCCTGACCTCATGATCCACCCACCTCAGCCTCCCAAAGTGCTGGGATGACAGATATGAGCCACCACGCCCAGCTCTCAACATGGATTTCAACTATGCAGATCCGCTTCTGTGTAGATTTTCTTTCTCTGCCCCTACCACCCCAAGATAGCAATACCAACCTGCCTTCTTCCTCTTCCTCAGCCTACTTGTGAAGATGATGAGGATGAAGCCCTATATGTTGGTCCACTTCCACTTAATGAATAGTAAATACACTTTTTTCTTCCTTATGATTTCCCTTTTTTTTTTTTTTTTTAAGATGAAGTTTTACTCTTGTTGCCCAAGCTGGAGTGCAGTGGTACAATCTCAGCTCACTATAACCTCCACCTCCCGGGTTCAAGCAATCCTCCTGCCTCAGCCTCCCGAGCAGTTGAGATTATAGGCATACACCACCATACCTGGATAATTTCATATTTTTAATAGAGACAGGGTTTCATTATGTTGATCAGGCTGGTATTGAACTCTTGACCTTAGGTGATTCACCCACCTTGGCCTCCCAAAGTGCTGGGATTATAGGTGTGAGCCATTGCTGTCAGCCCCTTATGATTTCCTAATAACATTTTCTTTTCTCTAGCTTACTTTATTGCAAAAATAGAGTATATAAAACTTACATAAAACCTACAAAATATGTGTTGACACTTTATGTCATTAGTAAGGCTTTTTATTTATTTATTTATTTTTTTGAGATGGAGTTTTGCTCTTGATGTCCAGGCTGGAGTGCAATGGCATGATCTCGGCTCACAGCAACCTCTGTCTTCCAGATTCAAGCAATTCTCCTGCCTCAGCCTCCCGGGTAGGTGGCATTACATGCATGCACCACCATGCCCGGTTAATATTGTATTTTTAGCAGAGATGGGGTTTCTCCATGTTGGTCAGACTGGTCTCAAACTCCCAACGTCTGGTGATCCACCCTCCTCAGCCTCCCAAAGTTCTGGAATTACAGGCGTGAGCCACCGCGCCCGGCCAATAAGGCTTCTGATGAACAGAAGGCTATTAATAGTTAAGTTTTGGGGGAGTCAAAAGTTATATGCAAGATAAGTTTGATGGTATGTTCCTGTAGTCTCAACAACTGAGTCTGAGGTGGGAGGAACCTTGGGCTTAGGAGTTTGAGTTAAGCCTGGGAAACATAGTGATACCCGTTTTTAAAAAAAAATAATAATAGGGCCAGGCATGGCGGCTCACGCCTGTAATTCCAGCCCTTTGGGGAGGCTGAGGTAGGTGGATTACTTGAGCTCAGGAGATCAAAACCAGCCTGGCCAACATGGTGAATCCCCATCTCTACTAAAAATACAAAAATCAGCCAGGTGTAGTGGCACAAGCCTGTAGTCCCAGCTACTTGGGAGGCTGAGGGAGGAGAACCTCTTGAACCTAGGAGGCAGAAGTTGCAGTGAGCCAAGATTGCAACACTGTACTCTAGCCTTGGCAGCAGAATGAGAGAGTTGGTCTCAACAATAATAAGCCTGGGCATGGTGGCTCATGCCTGAAATCTCAACACTTTGGGAGGCTAAGGCGGGCAGATCACCTGAGGTCAGGAGTTCAAGACCAGCCTGACCAACAAGGTGAAACCCTGTCTCTACTAAAAATACAAAAATTGGCAAGGTGTGGTGGCGGGTGCCTGTAATCCCAGCTACTAGGAAGGCTGAGGCAGGAGAATCACTTGAACCCTGGAGGTGGAGATTGCAGTGAGCCGAGATTGTGCCACTACACTCCAACTTGGGCAACAGAGAAAGACTCCATCTCAATAATAATAATAGGCTGGGCACAGTGACTTACTCCCGTAATTTCAGCACTTTGGGAGGCTGAGGCAGGAGAATCCCTTAAGGAGTTCAAGACCAGCCTGGGCAACATAGCAAGATCCCATCTCTACAAAAATAAGAATATTAGCCAGGCATGGTGGTGTACTTCTGTAGTCCCAGCTACTTGCGAAGTTGAGGTGAGAGAATCACTTGAGCTTAGGAGTTTGAAGCTGCAGTCACCTATGATTGCACCATTGCACTCTGGCCTGGGTGACAGTGGGAGCCTGTCTCAAATAATAATAATTAAAAGTTATATGTGAATTTTTTTTACTGTGTGTGGGGTCGGCACCTCTAGGCACCCCCCATGTTTTTCAAGGGTCACCTGTACTTACCTAAAATGTAAGATTTTTTTTTTTTCTTTTATGAAACAGTGTTTCACTTTGCTGCCCAGGCTTGTCTGAAACTCCTGGGCTCAAGCAATCCTCCTGCCTCAGCCTCCCAAACAGCTGGGATTACAGGTATCTGTAAGATTCTTATGAGGATCAAATTAGATCATACATGTCTGGCATCTAGTAAATTCTCAATAACATTGACTATTATTTTATAATAAATTGTTTTAATAACAACAATTATTATAATTATCTGCAGAAAGGTAAGTCAGAAAATGTTTCTAAGAAAGGTGGCATTTGAATTGAATCCTGAAGAACAAAATGTTACTGGGCTAGGGCTGGGAGGAAGTGAATAGATTGCTTTTGTTTTTTAATTATGCCCTGTCAGATTTCTCAGAAGGTTTTAGCTAGGATGATGAATGAATTCAGTGACAGTCAAATTGAATTTGAGAAACCCATGAGCAACACAGGATGTTTTGACCTCTTTATAATCTCAAATTTTACGTATTTGCCTCATGTATGATTGTAGCTCCATGAAATGAATATAACTACTAATCTTTTTGCTGCTTAATCTTCAATACTACAGATAGAATAGCACAAAATAAAATGGAAGATGCCAGAGTTGCACACAGTACACTTTATTCTGATTGAAAAACTGATATTCAAGTCTTCTTAACCCAGAAAAACTGGACTTGATGAGAAAAAAGGGAGGTGGGTAGGCACAAAATAAAACTTACTTTGGTAGAAATTATAAGAGACAAAATTTGGTATGGACAAAAATAAAGTGAAACTGATTAATAAATCCAATCTTTGGCCAGGCGCTGTGGGTCACACCTGTAATCCTAGCACTTTGGGAGGTTGAGGCAGGTGGGTCACTTGAGATCAGGAATTTGAGACCAGCCTGGCCAACATGGTGAAACCCTGTCTCTACTAAAAATAGCCAGGAGTGGTAGCAGGCATCTGTAATCCCAACTACTCGGGAGACTGAGGCAGGAGAATTGCTTGAGCCCAGGAGGCAGAGGCTGCAGTGAGCTGAGATCACACCATGCACTCCAGACTTGGCAACAGAGCAAGACTCTGTCTCAAAAAAAAAAAAAAAAAATCCAATTTTTGTCATAAATTATTGTAAAAAAGAATTATTTCTGTAAGGTAAAAATTTAAATAAAGCTTAATTGCATTCTATAGGAAATTAATATAGGAATTAAGTGGCCATAATTAAGTTTATTCCAAAAGCTACCTTTGGGATGAAAAGCCATTCATATTGATATAATTCTGATTACTCTGTTTGGTTTCATAAACATGGACTCAAAATATACTTAGAAGCAAAATCTTGGGTCAAAATCTCCAGTAACATCCAGGTGGAGGGGTCTAGGAAGTAACTGGAACTATTTGTCTAGAGCTTAAGAAATCAGGGCAACAACAAATCCAGATTTTGCGGAAAATTTTTGTCTTGAGGTGGTGTCCTACTCTGTTGCCAGGCTGAAGTGGAGTGGCTCAATCATAGCTCACTGCAGCCACAAACTCCTGGGCTCATGCAGTCCTCTTGCCTCAGCCTCCTGAGTAGCTGAGACTACAGTATGAGCCACCAGACTGGGCTAATTTTTTTGTAGAGACAAGTTTTTGCTATATTTCCCAGGCTGGTCTCAAGTGATCTCCCTGCCTCAGCCTCCCAAAGTACTAGAATTACAGGTGTGAGCCACTGTGCCTGGCCGAAATACAGATTTTTAAGTTATCACTGTGTAAGTATTAATCTGTTTTTTTTTTTGCATCTGCCATAAAATAATAATGCATAGTAGGAATCTAATAAATGCTTGTTGAATGTTAGACTCTCTCTAGTCAGCCCTACAAACATTATGAACAGAAGAATTTTAACATTCATTTTAATTTAGCAATTACTAAATACTTGATAAAAATGTACTTTCATAGCTGGGAGAGTGATAGCCGAGTAAAACTGAGGCTCATCAAGACTTGAACATATGGAGTATAACCACAAGTCCCATCAAAAAATATACTATGTTGGCTGGGCATGGTGGCTTATGCCTGTAATCCTAACACCTTGGGAGGCTGAGGCAGGAGGATCACTTGAGCCCAGAAGTTGGAGATCAGCCTGAGCAATATAGTGAGACCTCATTTCTACAGAAAAATTTAAAATTGGCTGGGTATGGTCGTGAGCACCTGTGGTCCTAGTTACTGGGGAGGCTGAGATAGGAGGCACTTCAGCCTAGGAGGTCAAGGCTGCAGTGAGCCAAAATCATGCCATTGCACTCCAGCTTGGGCAACAGAGTGAGACCCTGTCTCAAAAAAAAAAAAAAAAATTACTATGTCTGGTCTATAACCTGAAATATTTTTATCTTCATGTTCCTTATTCACTAACATTTTATTTTTCTTTAAAATTTTTTTTCTGTCTTTTTAAATTTGTTTCTACAGATTTCTTCATTCTCCACTTACCAAGGTCATGGGAGATATAGAGGAAACATTATTTGAAGAATTTGAGAACTATTCCTATGAACTAGACTATTACTCTCTGGAGTCTGATTTGGAGGAGAAAGTCGAGCTAGGAGTTGTTCACTGGGTCTCTCTGGTGCTATATTGTTTAGCTTTTGTACTGGGAATTCCAGGAAATGCCATTGTCATTTGGTTCACGGGGTTCAAGTGGAAGAAGTCAGTCACTACTCTGTGGTTCCTCAATCTAGCCGTTGCGGATTTCATTTTTGTTCTCTTCCTGCCCCTGTACATTTCCTATGTGGCCATGAATTTCCACTGGCCCTTTGGCATCTGGCTGTGCAAAGCCAATTCCTTCATTGCCCAGTTGAACATGTTTGCCAGTGTTTTCTTCCTCACGGTGATCAGCCTGGACCACTATATCCACTTGATCCATCCTGTCTTGTGTCATCGGCATCGAACCCTCAACAACTCTCTGATTGTCATTATATTCATCTGGCTTTTGGCTTCTCTAATTGGTGGTCCTGCCCTATACTTCCGGGAAACTGTGGAGTTCCGTAACCATACTCTTTGCTATAACAATTTTCAGAAGCATGATCCTGACCTCACTTTGATAAGACACCACGTTCTGACCTGGGTGAAATTTATCTTTGGCTACCTCTTCCCTTTGCTAACAATGAGTATTTTCTACTTGTGTCTCATCTTCAAAGTGAAGAAGCGAAGCATCCTGATCTCCAGTAAGCATTTCTGGACAATTCTGGCTGTGGTTGTGGCCTTTGTGGTTTGCTGGACTCCCTATCACCTGTTTAGCATTTGGGAGCTCACCATTCACCACAATAGCTATTCCCACTATGTGCTGCAGGCTGGAATCCCCCTCTCCACTGGTTTGGCATTCCTCAATAGTTGCTTGAACCCCATCCTTTACGTCCTAATTAGTAAAAAGTTCCAAGCTCGCTTCCGGGCCTCGGTTGCTGAGATACTCAAGTATACCCTGTGGGAAGTCAGCTGCTCTGGCACAGTGAGTGAACAGCTCAGGAACTCAGAAACGAAGAATCTGTGTCTCCTGGAAACAGCCCAATAAATTACTACTTTTCCACAAATCAGTATAAAGCTTTCATATGGGTCCTCTGATGAAGGCTTTCAGATTAAAATTGTTTCCAAGATAGAGAGCTGACCCTACTTTTATTGTTTTTATTTTTGGTCACTATATAGACATCACGTTTTTGGGTGGATATAAAACTTAGGAAGGATCCTCTTGACTCCTTGTGATGTGGCAATAAAAATTTTTTAAAAACTAAAAATACACCGGGCGTGGTGGCTAATGCTTGTAATCCCCGCACTTTGGAAGGCCGAGTCAGGCGGACCACAAGGACAAGAGATCGAGACCATCTGGCCAACATGGTGAAAACCCATCTCTACTAAAATATGATAATTAGCTGGGTGTGGTGGCAGGCATCTATAATCCCAGCTACTTGGGAGGCTGAGGAGGAGAATCACTTGACCCCAGGAGGCAGAGGTTGCAGTGAACTGAGATTGCACCACTGTACTCCAGCCTGGTGACAAAGTGAGACTCTTGTCTCAAAAAAAAAAAAAAAAAAAAAAAACTAAAAATAGGAAGGATCTGAATAATTATTTTCTGCAACTTAAATAAAATGCATCGCCGGGCGCGGTGGCTCAAGCCTGTAATCCCAGCACTTTGGGAGGCCGAGGCGGGTGGATCACGAGGTCAAGAGATCGAGACCATCCTGGTCAACACGGTGAAACCCCGTCTCTACTAAAAATACAAAAAATTAGCTGGGCATGGTGGCGCGTGCCTGTAATCCCAGCTACTCAGGAGGCTGAGGCAGGAGAATTGCCTGAACCCAGGAGGCGGAGGTTGCGGTGAGCCGAGATCGCGGCCATTGCACTCCAGCCTGGGTA